TCTCTTGCTTTGGTCTTTTTTTAAGTGTATGTAATGCCAAACACACTAGGAATATGGGTAACTGTGCTTGGCAACATTGGAAGATTGTTTGCTTTACTTTTTTAAAAAGTGAGTAACACCTAAATCAACAATTTTTATTTTTTTATTCTTTTTTTTTGCAGATAACCTATATAGATGAGTGTCTAATAGTGGTGTAGACGTGTATAGTTGTGCAGTGCATCGTGTGCAAAGCTAGTGTGCGCTCACTTGGTAACAACTTGTTTTTCCACCTGAAAAAACTGACAGGATTGCGGGGGGTGCTGTCATTCATTATCTCAGTGCTGCTCTCTTGGTCTGCCAGGCGATGCCTCCTTTAGGCGCATTTTTTTTAACAAATGTCGGTGAAGTAAGTCTCCACCTATGGTGTGACTCACCCTTTAAACATCCAGGGTATTAGAAATACTTTAAAGAGACATTGTGTAGTTTTTACCAATAATCTCAGGAAATGTCCATAGATATGTTGTTAAAAATGTATTAAATGATGCCCAGTTGTCGAAAAATATTGGCGGCATTGTAAGATATAACCATAAAAATCAAGCCTAAAATACTTGAGCATGGGTCTGTGTTTGGCTGACGCCTCATTAGATGCTAACGGCCATCTGTATAAAAGGTCTTACTCGAACACAAAAATACTTCTTGTGTACAATGATTTAGGTATGTTCTGCCCCTATCACCAGGGAAAATACACACTGTCACTTTAAAGATCTCAGAAGGACCAAGTTGCTTAGTCAGTAGCCTTTGTATGTAATTTGCATGCACACACATTTAAGCATCAGCAGTGCCTTTTAAATGACTTAGGTCATGGCGGAAAAACTTTGTGATTAACTATCGAAATAAACCCCTGCATCAAGTCTTACACTCAGGTTCTGTACTTGTGGAGCACATTTAATGAATGTATAATTTTGCCTTTATTTCACACTATCTGTCAGACATTGAACTACTCATAGCAAACAGATACACTGGCTGTTGTACAACTTTTTTTTATAATAAATGATCCCAGGACAACATGCAGCTTGTATCCCACTAAAAGGCACATTCTAAGTCAGGAGTTCTCTATCTTGGTCCTAGAGGGCCGGTATCCAGGATGTTTCAGTTGTTTCTCTGCTTCAACACACCAGATTTTAATCTGCAGGTGATTAACAGGCTTCTGCAGAGTCTGACAACCTGCTGAACAGGTGATTGAATTGCTGAATCAAATGTGTTAGAGCAGAGGAATAAAGAAAACTTGCTGGATACCGGCCCTCCAGGACCAGTAATGGGAACCCTTTTTCTAAGCCATTATTGCCTTTAATAAACTAGAGAACCAAGAAACACCTCTCTGCGTTTTCTGAGTCATATGTTAAACTGAAAAAGCACATATCTAAACTCATGACTGAACCATTTCTCACAGAGTAGGCTCAGAGAAACCCAGGAAGAGACACAGACAAGGCATATCACGACCATTCTGGCAGTGAGTAGCATCACTGATCAGCATCAAAGATGCCCACGAACATTAATAACAATTAAAAGTGGGTGGGGGCTCAGGAATTTTTTTATAAGCCTGATTGTTCGGCACCCCCCTGGCCACTTGATGCCTTACACACAGTGTGTAATGTGTGTGAGCAGAGCGCAGGAGCTGTACATACCTCAGTTCAGGTATTCAGCTGGTACCTGAAATGGACTGGAAAGTGGTCCTTTCTGGCCAGCTTCATGAAATGGAGACATGTGCATGCAGCGAAGGTGTATGCCAGAGGGACCCACACCACCCTGGTTGATCTGAACCAACTCCTGGTTGAAGAATGGGATTTTATGCCACAGGAACATGTGAACAGACAGGTGACCAGCACGACCCCTCACGCGGTGCAGAATGGATGCAGTCTGAAACCGGAATGACTTTCACAAAGACCAAAAATCATTGAATCCAATCAGAGAATTCACACCGGCTGTGAATCCAGATGCAGACAGTTTCTGCATGAGTACATTTTTTTTCGGATGCCACATGCGGATAATCATGAAGTGAAAGAGATTAAATGTGCCAGAAAAGATGTGAGACGTGGTTCAGTGAAGTGCATTTGGTACATTTCTAAATAAAACCCATGTTGCGTAGTCTTTTTCAGCTTTTTAAAATTATTAATGACAATTATTGACATCAATTTTATAATTCATTTTAAACTTTCTTTTAATAATCAATAGATGGGTTGGCCCCTGCCTACTTGTCAGAGGTCCTGGTCGGGCACTCCATTCTGTGATCCAATTGCTGCTCTTGGTTCCCAGAGCTCGGCTGAGGACAAGAGGGGATGGGACGTTTTGGTAGCGGGACCGAGACTTCTATGGAATGCCCTTCCCTTCTCCATCAGTAGAGGTTTTTAAAATAAGGTTGAAGACCTGCTTTTATGATCTGGCTTTTAACTCTGTGTGCTGTTATTTTTACACGCTCTTATTCTTTTATGTGTGTATTTTTGGTTTTTAGTTGTCCCTGCTGGTTTTATCTGTTTTATTTTTGATTGTGCAGCACTTTGGTGGCATTTTTCATGCCTGTAAGGTGCTTTATAAATAAAGGTTGATTTGATTTGATTATTAATGTATGATAGTTCACATTATTTTTAGAAGTATCATTAAACACATTGAGTCACATTTGGTGCTCTCATGGGACCAAAAGTCAGTAAATGTCCTCTTGCTGTAAGTGTTTTTCACAAAACGGAAAGAGAGGATTTTATTATTATCTTAATATGTTTGCCAGTCGGATAAGAAATCATGTTAAATAATTGTGATTTCTGTTGGTGAAGTCTTAAAGCTTAAGGATGCAAGCTGAAATGAATTTTCTAATGGAGTCTAAGCTTACGGAAATATTCAAAGACAATCTTGTACACTCTTTACAAAGCACTTAAGAGGCATTTTAATGATGTTCTTATTAATGTGATGCCCTGGCTCATAAATTCATATATTCTTGCTTGTCTCATACTGGTGCTTACTCCTACTGGCACCGTTGTCACGGGGAGATGGTGAGTTCTTCCGTTCCTCAGCAGGCAGCCCAACGAGAGGCTGGAGTTGTGTCTGCCAGAGGCAGCAAGCACATGCTTTCTTCTTTTTTTAATTTTCTGCTGAATATTAGTCTTACACAGTGGCGGCTGGTGAAAAATATTTTTGGTGGGGCTGTGCTATTTTTTTTAAACAAACTTGTGCTTTCTGAGCTTTGTGCACAACTTCACTATTTCCTGAATTAAGCACAGCTCTTTTATTTTTTCCTGTCTTACATCATTGGACAAACTGATTAATCCAGGTGTGTCTGACTATTGGCACGCTGCCTTGCGGACCAAGGTTGAAAAATACTGCATTAAATTGCACATAAAATAACATGACCATAAATGGTAAATAGGCAATGCAAGAGGCAAGTAACAAAAACATTTTGTTTAATTTCAACATTTGAGTGAACACGAAAAATTATGAGCAGGTCACTGTTACAGTAATGGTAGTAAACACTACTTAGACAAAATGCCAGAAATTTACACTGTTAGGACTTATGGAAAGTGGAAACACTTTCATAGGAAATAATGTCATCAGTATCCTCTTACAAATGTCATATTTCCCACTTTTTGGGACAATAAAACATTTCTGGTTCTCAATGAGATGTTTTTACTTCAAATGTAAAAACATCTCATTGAGAATCAGAAATGTTTTATTGTCCCAAAAGCTGGGAAATTTGTTTGCTGCAGCAAAAGTGTAACAAGTAAAATGGAATCAGATTGATGTATGTACAAATTTACTTGAAATACACATTTACATGATTAAATATGTATAATAGGTATGTGTGTTGAAATGAGTTTTTACAGTTATTGCACATTAAACAATGTACATGTTATTAAACAAATGTCCCGGTTTGTGGGACAACCAAGGATTTCTGATTCTGATTGTCTTGTTTACAGAAATGTAATGTACAGCTTACCTCTGCACCCAGCTGCTGTTCTCCCTGTCCAAACGTCCTCCGTTTCTTTGTTGGCTGCTGCACTGATGCGCTGCATTCCTCAGTCAGAGAATGAATGGAGTGCCCAATGAGACACAAGTTCCACATCCACCTTCTGTGGATCCCAGCCGTTTTGAATAACAAACACAGAAAGCAAAATAACGCATTAGCGTGATTGCATCCAGCTAGCCACTGCTTCCTGGTGTACCAATTTTGGGAGAAGCGTCGTGTGTACAGTTTACCCTTCTCCTTGTCCTGCTGGCTTATCTTTACGTCGGGCTGATCTGGTCCAAGCTCTTTGACATTAAGTTTTTCCACCATAGTTCTCCTCTCGAACGGATACTGGAGAAGAGACCGAACTGAATTCAGTGGCTGCTGAGATCCGGTATCCATGCTGCTGGTTGTAGGCGCACTGGCGTCCATGTCTACGTCTGCGTCACGACCAAAAACGTGCTGGAGTCGAGACTCTCCGAGTTCTACCGAACACCAACGAAAGCCTTGGCGGTAGCTCTATTGCCCATCATGCTTCTGAAACAACGTCAACGCTGATTGGATACATTCCCATTCCTACCCTTTGATTTTCTTGTCAGCAATTGGACAACTGGTCCCGTCTTGTTTGGGCGATTGAAAAACAGCACACAGCCTCCACTGCTCGGCAGAGACCGGCAGAGATCGGCAGAGACCAATATATATATATATATATATGATTTATTTTTGTTACAAAACACACAATTAACTTAGAATATGTGATTATTGTTAATTTTATTTATTTATTTTTAAAATAAAAATTAAAAACACTGGGGAAACTGGGAGGGTGGCGCCCTATCGCCCTCTATTGGCCAGCCGCCACTGGTCTTACACATTTTTTTTCCTTAACTTTCCACTTAAACTGAAAAGTGAAAAAAAAAAACAGTTGTGTCAACACTTGCTGATGAAAGAAAATCACAAAGCACTCGCAGAGAAGAAATGTGTTTGTTTTTGCAATGATGTCTGTTTGAGGATGATGCTACTTACCCTACAGGTCCACTGAGAGGGAGTCATGCTGCTGCTGGTAACAATGCTGCAAGGATTCTTGGTGCTAAAACAGAGGCATTACCGAGCACTGTGAAGCATGATCAGAGTTGTTAACGTGGGACTGTTTGAGGTATGTTGAAGCTCAACAAATGAGACGCACACACTGTCAGGAAACTTGAAGACTGAATTTCATGTTGGACTGTTCCAACAGATAAACAAATAATAGTTTAAGGCACCAGAATGGTTTGGTCCCCAGTAGGGGCAGACTGTGACACCAGACATATATTCTTTTACATCTTCTAGATGTCCTGTATTGCTGTCCCCAGGTCCTCTAGGTATGGGCTAATTCTGGTCTAAATAAGGTCACTGTAGACGTCTTTACTGGAGTATCGACATGTAGAAGTTTCCTGTTGAGGCCTTGAAAGCACTGCGATGAACTGGATGATAAGATGCTGGTAAGTTATAACTGGCAACTTTATACAGCAGCCATAAGGCGACAGCAAGACAGTACTCTGGACAGGTCGCTAGTCCATCACTGGGCAATTCAGTCTCCAATCAACATTAAATGCATGTTTTTGGTCTGTGGGAGGAAGTCAGAATACCTGGAGTAAACCAATACATGCATGGAGAGTATGGAGCTAGGATTGGGACAATATTCAATGTAACTTGTACCAAGTTTTGTAACTTGGAACGTGTTTCATGACATGTAACTTTGGATTTGTAACTTGTAACTTTAGTTTTCTAACTTGTAATTCTCAATTTGTACTTGTATTTCTTGTTTTGTAACAGGAAATTTTCATTTTGTACATGTATTTTTTATTTTGTTAAATCAAACTTTTATTTTGTACATTTACTACTCATTTTGTAACATCAAACATTCATTCAGAAACATGAAACTTCCGGTTTTTACCAAGCCCCCACAATGCGGCTCAAAAATGGACTCCGACCCGGAAATAACAAAAATTGCAGTTCCACCCTCCACTGGGGGCTGGTGTCAGAAGTGAGCAAATCCTCATTGACTCCCATGTTAAAAATACCAATTTCACAGCAGAAATAATCATGTTGACAGCCTGGTACCAAAACATGTTTTTGGTTTAAATTATCTAGTTTACATTCATGACAACTCTGAGGGGGGTGAATTTTTTTCTCACTCTTCTGTTTAAGTGTATTAAAAGCCTAAAATTCTGTATAATTAATGAGCATCCGACCCACGTGACCACAGAGCTAGCTCCGTGGAAAGGCCTCAGTAGAGCCTCGGTCTGGCTTGGAAACTGCTCCGGGATTTTGAGTCTCTGTGTTTGTTTATTCTTGTTTGGATATTTTTTGTGCAATTGTTGGACAAAATGACTTGCTGTGGCATTAATTGCACTAATAGAGCGTCCAAGGGTCTCCACTTCATTTTTTTTCAGTAAGTAAAATTATATTTATGTATTTTAGGTCACTGCCGAGCTGAGCTTAGATTTTAACATGTACTGTTTAACCATGAAATTTAAATGTAATAGGGTAAAACCCAGTGCATTTAACATAATGCTGCACTTTAGAAAATGGGTTGAAATATAACATGTTGGTGGAGCTGGGTTCCAACTATCGGCTTTTGGAGCTCTCGGGAGACCGATGTTTTCCACCCGTTTCTCTGTCTGATCGCGGCTTCTGTGTGCTGCGCCGGTTGATGGCTGGTTCTCCCTGCAGCTCGGCGCATCTCTGTCTGATCGCGGCTTCTGTTTGCTGCGCGGGCTGACGGCTTGTGGAGCTCTGGGATGGAAATCTTTCCACCCGGTTCTCCCCAGCGGCAGCTCTGCGCATCTCAGATCGCAGCGGCGCTTGTCTGCTGTGCGGCTGCCAGCTTGTGGAGGTCTCTGAGACCTCTGTGGAGGTCTCGGAGACCTCTGTGGAGGTCTCGGAGACCTCTGTGTTCCACCCGGTTTTACCCGGCGGTCAGCCCGGCGTATCTCTGACTCAGAAGCTCTGGTGTTGTGCACAGTTAACTCCAGTTGTAGCTAGGTTGGTCGGTGGGAGGAACTTGGGTGGAACCAATGAGAGCACGAGTCTTAGCTACCAATCACGTTTCTCGAATTCCTGTCCAATCATTGGGAGAGGAGGGCAGTTTGATTTTACAAAATAAAAAATACATGTACAAAATGAAAATTTCCTGTTACAAAACAAGAAACACAAGTACAAATTGAGAATTACAAGTTAGAAAACTAGTTACAAGTTACGAATCCAAAGTTACATGTCATGAAACATGTTCCAAGTTACAAAACTTGGTACAAGTTACATTGAATATTGTCCCAATCCTAGCTCCATATAAGAGAATATACCAAATCCACACTGAAAAGCCACATCCAGGACACAAACCTTTTTAACTGCAAGGCAACAGCCCTCAATTAAATATTTTTTGAACAATTTGTTAAACCAAAAGTCATTGGAAACGTCTGATTTTCATCTGTTGATTTAGCCAGTTTCAAGTTTTGTTCAGTAACCATTGTGGGGTTTTATTTACCTAAAGATGTCTGTAAATTACTAATTTCTTCTTGTCAATTTTATTAGATTAAAGTCAGGCAAAGGTCTTAGTTTTTGTTTGATATTTTCCAAGTTTTTGCTATCAAAGGCTCAAATCAACTTGTTCTTAGATAGATATCAAGGTCTTCTGATGCTTTATATCTTATGCAATCACATTTATTACCAAGAAACCATTTAATTCTGAGAAGTATTCATACACCTTTCGGAGAAAAACTCAAAGCTGATTTCTCTTTCAAGTTGTGTCATATGGCCTGTTAGCTGAGAAGAGAACAAGAGAACTTTTAATAATAGAGCCCAACGGCAAAAGATTCATCTCAATTTTCTTTTGTCACTTATCTTCAAATAGAGATCACCAGAATAGTAAATTATCAACAAAAATAATTCTAATGGAAAAAAGATTTATGTAGCGTCATTTAATATAATTTAGATTTTTTAACTGCAGCACTTAAACATCATACTCTGCAACCCAGCCAAGTGCAGCAGGACGGCTTTACCTAGATCACCAAAAAACACAGGCAGACTCATGGTGTCCCCTTGCACAAATCATCTGTGCCTCCAGTAATGGCTGTAATGAATGCAGTGTGACAGCCTCAAAGCACGGTGTACTTGACTGCACACCTTGTCACCTGCACCGGCTAATGAAATTACTGCCTATAGTGTCGCCCACAAAAATCCAGCCAGCCTTTTACTTCATGTCATCGTCAATTTTTAGACCAAAACCCCTTTAAGGATAACGGGACCTAAATGTCAGAAGTAAAACTGAACTCATACTGTGACAAATTCTGACCACAGGAGAATACGCAATACTATTAAAAGTTATTTTATATGTGAATTTCTTATTTCCATGGATTCCTAATTTCCTCATTTTTAAATATCTGAAATAAATTGGAGTGCAAAAGCTGATAAGCATGGGGAGTTTGGTGGCAGGAGAATCTCATCTCTGCTTTATGCGGATGATGTGGTCGTCCTAGTTTCATCAGGCTCCGACCTACAGCTCTTGCTGGGGAGGTTCGCAGCCGAGTAAGAAGAGGCTGGGATTTGGATCAGCACCTCCAAGTCTGAGACCATACTTCTCGACCGGAAAAGGGCAGCTTGCCAATTCCGGTTGGGGAGAGAGGTCCTGCCTCAAGTGGAGGAGTTCAAGTATCTTGGGTTTTTGTTCATGAGTGAGGGAAGGAGGGAGCAGGAGATTGACAGGCGCAGTGATGTGGACGCTAAACCTGTCTGTTGTGGGAAAGAAGGAGCTGAGCTGGAAAGGAAGGCTCTCGATTTACCAGTCAATCCACCACCCAGTCCTCACCTATGGTCATGAGCTTTGTGTAAGGACCAAAAGGACACGATCGCGGATACAAGCAACCGAAGTGAGTTTTCTCTGCGGGGTGGCTGGGTCAGCCTTAGGGAGAGGGTGAGGAGCTTGGACATTCGGGAGGGACTCGGAGTAGAGCCGCTGCTCCTCCATATCAAGAGGAGTCAGTTGAGGTGGTTTGGGCATCTTGTTAGGATACCTCCTGCACGCCTCCCCAGAGAGGTGTTTCAGGCATGTCCTGCGTACAGGAGGCCCTGTTTGACCCAGGACACGTTGGAGTAAGTGCATCTCCTATTTAGGATGCTGCCCCCTCGACCTGGACCTGGATAGGCGGAAGAAGACGGGACGGTCGAGTCGCAACCAAGTCTCTTTGTAATGAGATATTAATTGTTTATGCTTCCATTAAAAATCATTTAGTATTATCCTTTACTACTACAGGTAAACAAAAGCAGACGCCACTGGTTGCAAAGAAAATGCTGTCACATCAAGACTGAGTTTAGTTTAGAGTATCACTCCTTGGTTTCTATAAATGGTGGCAAACATCAGCACTAATGTGAGCACACAAGACATTTTACACATAAAATGTTACAGCTGTCATCTGTTGGTGTTAAGTGGGGGCACTAATGCAACAATGCTGTGAGTAATACTCCTGTCTGTGAAGCCTGAGAAACCTGATAAATCCTGTCTGGCATTCCGGTGTTAACTCATTGTACCTTCCCACAGATTTGATAAGATTTTTCAGATGAGCAGATTAGATTATCATTGAAATTCATAGATTATCATTGAAATTCATAACCAGAGATAACTAGAAATGTGTATATCTATATGAAACTGGTGGATCCAGCAGTTTGGGCACGTAAGTTTTATCTAAGCGTATACTTCCACTTCTCAACATCACATAAAGGTTGAGGGTGATTATTTTAGCTTTCCATGTCAAACCTTAGCTGTGACTGTACTGTATTTAAAGTATACACTATACTATACTGTATGTAAAGTATTTTTGTTACTCATATTACATACACAAAGATAAGTAGAGCTTCAGAGCCAAATACCGTAAATCCTCCAATATTGGCCTATATTCCGTTACTGACCGGGCCTCCTACATTAGCCAGTCTCGCTGTCAGCGGGGGGTAAATAAAGACCGGTCTCTAATAGTGACCGGCTTTACAGCACAAACCCAGCCACAGTTTTGATGACTTTAAAGTACTATTGATCAAAAAATATTTTAATAAATAGCATACTTACCCATTGTTAATGAAATATAGCCTCACAAAACAGGACGCCAAGTCTGATCATGTATAAATGCATTTTTTTAAACTTCAAACCAATGGAGACACTAACAGATAAACTTTGGAGCGGTAAGGTGTCTGTTGCCTTTTGTTGTAAATCAATAGCTTAATTATCACCAAGTGTTTACAGTGCACTACTGGTATGTTTGCTACATTTGTTACCATACTGGGATTTAGCCTGAAACAACGGCGTTTGTTGTAAATGTTCTATATGCATACATACGTACAATGTTAACTACATTTTCAATAAATGTACCTAGTGTTTTATAGGTTCAAATAGACATAAAATCTTGTTTTTATTCATTTTTGCTCAGCTTGAACTTGATGCCTGCTTCTTATTCTGGCCTCCTTCCATTAAACACGGAGCCAGGATGCGCTTGTGTAAATAAAGGCGCAGGCCTTTATTAGAGGATTTACTGTACATTAAAACTGCTCAGTGCCTTGGTTTTGCTTCATTTTTTTGTGTATCGTTTGCACCCGCCATCATCTCCTTATCAGTGTCACACAGTGTATGTGCTGCCTTAATGGGTGAATTTCCTCTCTACAAGGACTCGGCTCTCATTGTTTGCTTTGAAAACCCGTTCAAAAGATTCGGTCTATTACTCTAACCCTAACTTGTTTTTAGGTGTTTTTAGCTGTATGTTTTGGGTCATTGTCCTGTTGCAAGACCCATGACCTGCGACTAAGACCACGCCTTATGACTGAAGGATACCAACAATTTTGTCCACCTCTGTAAAACCCTAATTTGTGCTCACAATAGATGTGAAATCATTTAGATGAATCTGGGCCTCAGTGTGAAAATTGACAAAATATACAGATCACTAAAACCAATAACCATCCAGGACCTGAAAGATCTTATTATTCCGTGGTTTGGTTTCCAGACCATGACAGGTAAAGTTGTCATGGTGACAGACTGTTTCTGTTCGCTCATCAGAGGTTAATTTAGTGTCCCTACATTTCATCCTACTGGTGCACAACACTGGGTACATACAAGCTTTAAAAAAAGACAACTCCTTAAGAACATATTTTCAATTACAATGCAAATGTCTGTTGTTTATTCAATCATTCAAACACTAAAAATACATAAAAGTTGGATATCTTTCATTATTTTAATGAAAAATAAAATGTGTTTTGTGCCTGTATGAGCTCATTTCTCTGCAGCGAGCTTTAGGTTTTTGCCTTTCTTTATTCTTTTGTCCTCCCCTTCATGGTTTCAGCTAAATGACATTTGAAGGTCGAAATCTTAATAGAATAGAGTCAGTTAACCAGATTCTGAGCTCTTTTTCGTAGATTAACCCTCAGAGCAGGTTAATCCCATGCTACTGAAATCTTCTGAACAGCCTTACTTTTGTTCATGGACCTTATCAAGTCATTTTAATTCACGGCAATCCCTCCTCAAAAACAGACCGGTATCTCTGCAACTTTCTGACCAACCAAATTTCCAGCAACAGAAAAATTATATTCAAGGCTTTTTTTAAATGTAGACTATAGTCTGGTGTCTCCTCGTTCTTTAAAGGTAGCTGAATATTCAAAAGAAAAAAGTAGTTATTCTTCTGATCTCACCAGATGTATTCGATCCTGAGCTGGCTATTTTATTGTCAAAGCTTTGGGGATTGCTTTTAGTGAAACTCCTGAAGGTCCAGGATTTTCTCAGATTTCAACTCAATCCGTTTTTTTACGACTTAGTGGATGTTCATTTTGACCGTGTGGGTCTTCTAGATGAAGCCTTGAAAGCTGCTGCACACATAATCACATTGAAGAGAATACATCAGGGCTTGTGTGTGAAGAAATGTCTTCCTATTACAGATTTTGTTTGTCTTTACTATTTGAGCATTTTGTGGAGACCATCTTTGATCGAGAACACTGGCAATCCTAAAAGGCTTTTGAAGTATGCTGACAACTATCTTGTCATAGCCTGCTTTGAAAAACACATTATGTTCTGTTTCACTGGAGACACAAAAGATACAATTTGTCATCTGAGATGGTAGGAAAAGGTCATAGTTCACAAGCAGAGAAGTAAGCCTAATTTATAGAAGCGAGCATGTTTCCCCAACTGGAACTACATTTTCAAGGAATGTTTAACAACACAACAGGGGATAAAAGGAAAGGTGTCATATTGTCAAGCTCATTAATGAAATAAAAGAAATTGCTGCATTTCTATAAAGTTCTACTTAGGACTTTGATTCTGTAGCTCAAACTGGATTTTCTGGAATAGCCTGGCAAGCCATCTTATATATGTGAATATATAGGATGACCCATAAACAGGGCTGAGTCGTGGGGCCAAATCTGTGGCTGTCTTTAAAACTATGTGCAGTGCTGTTTCTATGTGCAGTACTTTTTTTTTTTTAATTATCGGGTATTTTACACTGAAACCGTGTGTGATTTCCTGTCTAGCCCTATGTTAACTGCAGATATTGCCATGCCCCAGAAGTTGCGTGCCGCCTTTAGAATGTGCCTGAAAATTGGCGTGTTGCAGCTGGTTTGAAACACTCCATAGACTATAATGGATTCTATTTGAAGCAGCCACGTTCTGTGGTCTTTTCGCACCACTGATGCTTTCATTGTGAAGCAAGGGTTAGTGTAGCAGACTGGACCGGCAACTCTGAAGTTGCCAGTGGAATATTCTGACCACGGGGCGATCGGGGCTGGGTGGCCTTTCATAAACCCTGTTAAGGGTCATTTTGGCTCATTGGCTCAAGAAAAGTATTTAAAAATATGAAAAAGTTGCTGTGTCTTTTTATTAGAAGTGACAAATATTATTGTTGTTGCTTCTTTTACTTTTCTTATGTTCAATTTATGCATTTCCCAACTGGGTTAAAAGATCAAACAGCTCTTTTATTAAACACCAAAGGCAGGTTTGTCAAGTATTTGATTGGCAAGGCGAGCTGACGTTAACACGCCATTTTGACAGCAATCGGCTAAGTCAATCATAATTTTTAAATCTCCCAGTAGGGTAAGGAGCTCAGACATTCGGGAGAGACTCAGAATAGAGCTGCTGCTCCTCCATATCGAGCAGTCAGTTGAGGTGGTTTGGGCATCTTGTTAGAAGGCCTCCTGGACGCCTCCCTGGTGAGGTGTTTTGGGCATGTCCTGCTGGCAGGAGGCCCCCTGGATGACCCAGGACACGTTGGAGAAAGTACATATCCGAACTGGCCCAGAACGCCTTGGGGTCCTGCCGGAGGAGCTGGTGGAGGTGGCCGGAGAGAGGACGGTGTGGAGCTCCCTAGTTGGGATGCTGCCCTCGCGACCCGGACACGGATAGGCGGAAGAAGACGAGACGAGATTTTGTTTAAAAAGTCTTATGTGCAGGAAGCAGAACAGTTATCAGTAGAGAGCCGGTACCATTTATGTAGCAATATTCACGTCCTCTTTTCAAACTACAATAAACCTGAATAATACAACAGCTGTGATTTAATTATTTAGTTTTCTTAGTCTGAGGGTTTCATCTCTGGACTGAAGCGTCAATGCCATGGTATTCTACAGCCCTTTGGTGCCAGAGGTCAGCCGACCTCTCTGACCTTCGGATCCACCAAGAGGGTCTCCGAAAACGGGTGAAGAAGACACACAGATAGCGTCTGATGTGGTTTTTGATAATAGTCAAATTCATAGCTTAGCACAACCCAAATTCTTTTACATCTAGAACTCAGCTCTCCTAGATACGGAAGTTCTGACTAACACAGCATTCACACATAGGTTCATACATCACCTTTAGTTCCATCCATCACAGTAAATGCTTAGTTAACTTGTCATGTTTTAATTTTTTGTAAAATAAATTCTTACTTTTATAAACCTGAATCTTTTCTTAGTCAGAACGTAATGTTTACAGTTCCTTAATAAAGATGGAATCCTAGATCTTCTGATGAACACAGTAAAGACCAAGCAGAGTTGAGATTCTATATTTAGATAGAGTATCACAACTTATTGGTCATAAGTAGAGGTAATATATTTATTGAGCTCTTAAAGCACTCAATTTCCTAAACCCTACAATGTACATTTATTTGTGTATTTTAATTATGCTGTCACACAGATTTTGTACAAAACCATAACAAATAGAGTCAGCCATGAAGGCAAAACAGTCATCAGGACTTTTAAGTCCACAATATGAGCCATGTTTGCTACAAGTCAGAGACAACTGATATGTTCAGCCTGAAAAAAATAATGTGCACTGAATCTGTCTTTGAAGTAAGATGTAAATAACGTATCAGTGTGTTTGAAAAGACTAAAAAATAAATAATGAAAATGCCATCAAGCCCCAAATGTTTTTTCACCCCAGGAAATCATTGAAGAACACAGTTTAGTAATTTCCTGGCTTTAGTGAATGCAACACAGGTATGATGGTATAATCTCTCAGAGAGCAGTTATACAGAGGCAGGTTCAGCTGGACCCCTTCGTCCTGGATAACTCCACATCATGTCATGGAACTTATCCTGCTTTGGAAAATGGATTTTAAAAAAGCCTGTTCAACATCTGATCAGGGTATCTAGAGTCTGATTACCACCTCCCCCAGCAGCGGGGCTTAGTTCCTTCCCATTTTACCATATTTAGGAGACAAAACTACAACTTTGAGATGACCTGAGCCATTCAGACCCATAGGCACCAATGCAAGATGCACGCTACCTTGTCTACGACGACATCCCACAACGCATTGCAGCTTTACAACACAATTGATTTTTAGCTATAGAATATGCTATTAATTGTGGCATTGTGATTTTGATTAGCATATACTAAATATTTCAATAAATTTGCTGTGGTTTGTTTGCCAAGAAATCTGAACTGTCGGTTGCTGACGCAAAATGATTTTGCTCTGCACAAATTGTGGCTAGACCACAAGTGTGGTCTAGCCACACTTCATTGGAAACTCCACGGCCCCAGCCAGTCTGGTGGCTGGCCAATCACTGCACTTTATCGGTTTGGTGGGTGGGATGTAACTGCGATGGAGCGAAAATAAGATGGCCACGGCTCATTTGAAAGGGATTTGGCATCAACTTTGGACTATTTAGACATGGACTTTTCTTTGAGTCAAGAGCATATAGAGGTACTTTGGTCCTTTATTTAGAAAAAAGATGCATTTGCGTCTTCTTCAACAAAGTATGGCGAAATGCCCCGTTGACTGATATCCGTAGCGACACCTCTTCCAAAGTAAAACACCAGTTTCGTACCTTGAAATTTTTATGCAAAAGGAAACACGATGATGAAGCTCTGCTGTTTCTCTGACTCATCTTCAGACATTATGGTAAGTTGTAAATTACCTACCTGCATTTGATGTAGAGCCTTCAAGAGTCCCCAAGGCACTTTACAATACAATCAGTCTTACACCCATGCACACACACGTTCAGTCCCTGGTAGGGATGAGCTAGAATGTAGCCACAGCTGTTCTGGGGTACACTGACAGAGGCCAACAGCATTATAAAGTAGAACCGCTCAATGAGTGAAAAACAAATTGCATGCATTAATTTATAGTTGCTGCCATTTGCACAGGGCAGACTACTAATAAGACGTTCAAGCAATTCCCTCTAATTGAATCTATGTAATCTGTTTACTGGATAGGTGAACTCCCCTTTCACTTTCAATGAAAAACTTATGTTGTTAACAGGATACTTGTTTTCTCTGGCCTCTAATGAGTAAGTGTTGCTTCAGCAGTAGAGTAGAATGTCTACCCTGAATTAATCAGTCTCAGACTGTTTCCCTTTAAATGAACATAAATTTATTTCTATATTTCTAATTCACAGGAATACAAACTACATAAGTCAGTTTTCGAAGGGCACTACTCACAATAACTCGGATTCATGGATGTAATTTTCACTTCCGAAGTACAGGGGAC